CTCTTACGAATATATTCGAATTTATTGCATAATCTCAATTACGAATAACTATTTTAAAATAAGATTTAATTGTCATAATGACGAACTTTCGTCCGAGATAGCGACTATTTCTAGTAAGTTACGCTACCCTGGTTAAAAATATGCTTTTGGTTTAATTGTTGAATTTGTTCCTTCGAATAAATATTGAAAAAATTTAATATCTTTCTCTCTCCTTTTCAACGTATGTAAACGACACAATTATATGTGTATAGACATAATATCTAAATTATTACTTTATCTTTAGTCAAATTATATAAATAGCAAGACAAACTGCTTTATTATTTATTTAGATTTTTATTTGTCAAAAGGGAGAGAGAAAGAGAGAGAGAATTACTATTTAATTCCATTAAATTATTGTAGGCATCGCCCAGTAGCTTTTTAATACTGATTTAACATGGCTTCAGCAATATCGAGAAAATAATCTTTGCACTCGCGCGTACACATACATATAGAAGCGCTTTTCTCTCAGTAAGGATAATAAAACTAAATCTTTTTACTAACTCTATACATTTATACACGTCGTGTGTGATCCTTGTCTCTTACATCGTAATTAAGAGTCGGACCAAATCTAGGCACACATTCGACTCCGTTGAACGGTTTTTTCTCGGAAAAAGAAAAAGACAGAAAATCTAGATTGTTAGCACATAGATAATGCAGACCGCCCGGAGTTTGCTACACGAAGAACGAATTTTATCGGTATACAAAAAGAGTACTGCCTCAAATCTTAGGGTAAATTACTCGCTAACGACGAAAAAGATCGAAAAAACGAGTAAAATATAGACAAAGATATAATGTGGCTTCCTTCGGTGATCGTAATTATTATTGTATTTAAACTACCCTTATTCTGTTTCATTCTCCATGATAGTACAGGGTTTCCAATAATTGGTGAAAAAAATGGATATGTATAGCGTTTTATAACTCTTTCAAAATTTAAATTGATTTTTCCCGTAAAGATATCAAGACATGAATAGTTTCCGAACTATAAGCTGCAAATAAAAAACTTTTCGCGAATTAAGCTTCAAAGACATAAAGTAGCGTAAATTATCAATCCATTTAATTTAAAGTGAGTTTTATCCTAGTTTAATTTAATTGATATACTAAAGCATCAAATGCTTTTGGAGAATAAAGACCTCTTCCCGACATATTCGCTGAGAAATAATCAATTTTAAATTTTTCATTAGAAATAAAAATGTTGATTACTTTTCTTCAATTCTCGGATACCTTGTATTTTTGACATCGTACTATCATAGTTGTCCGATTGATTACGCGCGTTTTTATTCATGCATGTAGAGATTGTCGAATAAACGCTAAAATCGATGTTCCACCTACGCTCATTATTATTTATTAGCGGCGCTTATGTTTTTTTCGACTCTCTTGATTGTCCACATTATAAAAAATTAGAATGTCGACAACAAAATACAATTTTTTTAAATATGAAATGTCTCAATATATAATCTTCTCTAATCTTAATTTTATGAATTTCTAAATTTTTGCTCGTGTCTCGTACTACAAATGTAAATTACGTAAACCAGCATCTGCGAATGCATAATTCATGACAAATCTTGTATCAGAAGTTGCATTGAAAAGTGAGATTACATCAAGATTGCATTAAACTCAATTAAGACAAAAGACAAGGATTTCTTTGTCCTGATTAATTGAATTCCACACATTCTCGATGCAATCTCGATCTTCAATATGTGGTCTAATAGGAACATAAGAGTCTCGAATTCGATCAATGATAATACTAATCGCATAATCAGTAGATCCGCCTTTTAATCGTGCAGAAAAATTGTCTAAAACTCGCCGTAATATCGCAACTCACATATATTGCAGGACGATTTTTAATTTTCTCAAATTTATATCATATCGTTCACAGTTTAACCAATTATAAATTCTTCGGAATATTTTTTTTTTTTTTTTGCTGTAATTTATTGTTTATATTTTATATAACTTTATATATAAGCTTCAGCTTATTTGTACAGAGAATTTTGCGAAATTAAATGAATGAAACAAACACTAACAAATTAAATTAACAAATTTTTGTCTTATAAACTCTTTCTTTTTGGAAACAGAAAACGATGATTGAAATGTTAGTCTTGAAAATATTATTCTTTTTATTGATTGAGCCTAAAACTGTATCTGCATCGTATCGTTATCATTAAAAAAATATGGTTTGCAAAAAGGAAAGTGAGGCTGACTTTCGTTAGGTTTCGTTAAAGTTCTAAACTGCTTTAAAACGAAAAAATACATGCGAGTGCACATTCGGATTTTCATATGTACAACGAATTATTTTAAGGGACATCTCGTAATCGTATTTTTTATCCTAGATAAGTGTTATGTTTTGCGTGCGACATGAATCTTTCGAGAAATTTCCGACATCGTCATTTCAAGAAGGAGGAGAGACCAGATTCTCCTCCACAGTTTTTTCCCTTCTTCATAGACAAAACGTTACCGCTAAAATGCCACAACCTCACGCGTTGACCTATAGTGCCTATTATCAATTAGCGGACACACCGAATGATTAGGTATTATTATTGAAAACCATTTTACAAGCATCCCAGTTTGCAAGTAGCGCAAATATCTGATTGGTATCCTCGGATATTTAACGTTCCGCAATATCTAATAACATCTCCACATAAAACCTTTTATATATATACATATATATGATAATAATGATAAGAAGGCTAATTTTTTTAGGCATTTTGTTGTAGATATTTATCCAAAATATCATGTAGAAACTAATAAAAAATGAAAATATATCTTATTTTATTGCTTAATGAAAAATTTCTTAAATAAATAAATTTTCATATGTCAAACACCTCTCTCTTTATGATTTAAAGATTATTATTGAAATATCTCTTCAGTGTTGAAGAATACGAATTAAAATCATATATAAAATTTTATTTGCAGCAAAAATAAAAACGTTTTTAATATTTAACAGAATATACATGATACACTCATCAGATATTAACGCTACACGAGATAACAACGTTGATACGTTATGCATAGATTAAATAAAGTCCGTATAGCATTACATTATGATATATTACTATGTCGAAGACGTTAATAATCATACAGTAGTGTACTTTTGTGCTTGACAAGCTTGACAATTCAGTTCGCACGTGCGTGAGAAAGACAAAGACGCAAAAAAAAAGCGGAAGAACCGCAAAAAGAAAAGTTTGACATAAAATATCTTGTCATACGATTGCGTGGGCGCGCACATTTATACTCCGTGTATATGAATGTACACTTATAGATATATAGATATATACGTATATGTATATATCATATATAAGGTGAAATATTACAATACTCTTGTTATCATAAAACAGAACGGAAGAGACTGGACGAGCATATGATATATATAGAATTGCATTCTCGCGAAGTTGCATCTTGTTCGACAACTATTGTACAATCATGCGAGGGCGGATCGCCCTGTGTAAGAGAGATTACTTTATAATTAGAGCACTATAATTTAGCCTTTCTGATTGCGCGTCTGCGTATGTATGCGAATGAAATAATAAAATCGCGTATGCTCAAGCCTACACACATACTCGTACTTGCTGATATATACATATATAACATATACACACGTGCGGTAAAATATTATATATATAAATATAC